TCTCCAGCATGTGGACTTTGACTAAGCCGTTACACTTCTAGTGACCCCAAGAATTAAAACCTCAACCAATCAGGACAAAAGCTTAACTTCTCCTTTTACCAAGTAACTATGAGTTAGAAATCAACTGAATGTAGTTTAATAATTGGCTTTATTATAAACTAGTATCGGGGCTTTTTGAATTATTGTATTTAAGCTGTTTTGGATTTTGCACATTCAGATTTGCACTGATTTATTTCTTTATAGATTATCGTCAAAATATTTTACATCACAAATAGGTTGTGTAGCATTGTTTTTATGTTACTATACAATCATCTGACATATTCAAAAGAAATAGATACAAGGTTTGAGAACACCCACTATTATTTTATATTTTTGTAAATATAAAGAAAGATGTATATTTAGACTGGGCAATCAACAGAACAAAATTGCTAAGTTGTGTAATGCCAATTTGTTTCTACTCAGTTAATGCTTGTCTAAGTCCAATTATCCTTCTAGCAATACTTGTCCTATTATGCGTGGAAATGAGCACAATACGCTGGCCAATGAAGAGACTAAGAACTTTGTCACACACTCTAGGTAAAGCCACATGTAGAGCTGCTGCTTTCATAAATTATAGAATTAAAGTGATTTTGTTACCTCAAACTTACCTTTCTCATATTGTTTTCTCTTCTCTTGCTCTTTCAGAATCTTTTCTTCATTTCTGATCTAGTTCCCTTTAAAACAGAAGACAAAAACGAAGTGAGAATGGCCACCACTTGCAGGATACGTGTCTCTGAGGGGTTGAGCTCCTACATTGCCAGTCTTTGCTGAATCCCCTGCTAGAACTCACTCTCCTCCAGAGGGGTCCCAATGGTGGCTTGTAGTTCAGATAAGAGAAGCCCCCCTCACCACTGCGTTTGTCTGGCGACACTGGCCACTGACGTTCAGATCACCCTCTCTGACTGGTTGGGACCATACAGGGTCAGTTTCTCCCAAACTCTCTGCCAGAACTCCTGGTGATGGCACGTAGCTCGGCTAAGCAAAGCTACTGTTGCTACTCTTTTTGTTTGGTAATGCCAGCCACCCCTTGTCAGATCACTGCCCTGGTAAGTTGGGAACATACACTTTTGGTCTCTCTCAAACTCTCTTTTGAAATGCCTGCTCCTTGATTTCAGCTACACTGACATCGGGGCTCTGGGCCTCCTTCATCAGTTCCACTATGAGGACCACTTTCAATATGCTGTTGGCCAGCTGGTCCCGTACTTCCAGCAGATCTTTTAGGGTGCTCTGATTTAGGCTGTTGTAGTAACATTCCATCCACCAGAGAGATGCAGCCTAGGATTGGTTATTTTGGTCGTGGAAGCAGAAATAAGGTAGCATACTGCCACTTTCCACCAGTTGTAATTGAAATCCTGTACACCACCACCAGCTTCCTCCACCAGAGGACCATACAGTGCTTCCAATCTTGTAGCCGAAGATAAACTGTGATCTCTGGGGACCTATTCCATTGGAAGGACTACTGTGGCTAATATCCCTTTCCCCCACACATTAGCCAAGACTATATGTAGGTGGGGAAATGAACACGCTTTACTGAAGACACAACACTCTATATATACAGCTCCTATGTAGACCTGAACTCCAGGTAGTGTTTCAAACAATAGAATATAGCACAACCCAATCCCCTCCCCAGCAACACTTGGTCTGGACTGATGAGAGTTAATTAGAACATAATATTGGGATACCAATAAAGAATGGGGTTAGACAAGGCTGTCCATTATCGCCATTGCTTTACATATTGTCTATTGAACCTCTAGCAGAAAGTATTAGGAAAAATTCAGAGATTAAGGGATATAAAATAAAAGAGGATGAATTTAAGATCAGCCTTTATGCTGACGATATTCTCCTCACATTAGTGGACCCTATTAAGTCGTTAGACCCTTTGATAATAGAAGTGAGGCAATATAGCCAATTAGCAAACTACAAATTAAACAACGATAAGACTATAGTAATGAGTATTGGTTTAAAAAAAAAAAATAGAGATATGAGATTAAAAGTAAATATGAATTTTCCTGGACCATATAGAAATCTGCATATTTGGGAGTAACAATACCCAAAGATATCGATAGAATGATGGAAGTGAATTTCCTACAGCTTTTGAAAAATACTAATTTATTACTTAAATCTTGGAGACATATACAGATTACATGGTGGGGACGCGGTAACATTACTAATTCTTATATTATTCCTAAATGGAATTATCTAAAGCAAATGGTACCTCTTGGAATTTCACCTATCTGGTTAATGTTACTGCAGAAGAGTATGGAAAACTTTATTAATTAAGGCAAAAAATAATAGAATTAATAGATCAATTATGTCTTTAAAACCCTCAGATGGAGGTTTAAATTTCCCTAATATACATTTTATGTATTAGGTGAACCAATTAACTCATGTATATAGAACCCAGGTAGAAACTGCTATGAATGAACCCTGGTTTAAAATGGAAATGGAAGACTTAGGGCTGAAAAACGCACAAGGTCTAATTTGGAACATAAACCATATCGTAAAAATGGGTATAGATATTAAGAATAATAAAATATGGTCACAACTTCAGCCAATGTGGGAAGAGATTAAAAGGATATTGGGCCTGTGATATGCAATATTTGATTCCTCTACACTGGGTGTAATCGATCGAAGCTAATATTAAGGATATGTCATTGCAATCTTGGAGAAATTGCAGGATAAAAAAAATATCACAGGTTTTGGTTAATGATAAGTTAATGTGGTTTGAGTCCCTAAAAGAAAGATTCCAGATATCAAGTACTGGGATTTTTTCTTATTTAAGGGTCAAATACTTTTTACAGAAATTTTTAGTTATACCATTAGAGAAATCCCCAAGGCAATTGAGATCTCTCTTTTCAAATGATGCTTCACTTAAAATTTTAGCTAAGGCAATAGAAATTATGAGAAATATTAAATATGTGGTAGCTGCCCCTCAAATAATTAAGTGGGAAAGAGACTTAAATTGTCAAATAGATAAGCATGAATGGCATAAATCTTTTAATAAGATACGTAAGCAAGTACAATACCTGAATCTTGTAGAAACTCATTATAAAGTCATGGACAGATGGCATCTGGTTCCCAAAAGGCTAGCGCAGATGTACCCTAATACATATTTGGTGTGTTGGAGATGTGGTAGAGAGGAAGGGACTTATCTCCACATATGGTGGAGTTGTTTAGAGATCCAGCAGTTGATAGATTGGCTCTATAAATTCATTGTAGATACGACGAAGATTGTGATGGATAGAAAACCTGTTGTGCTATTACATATGCACTGGCCAATATTATCTTATAAGATAGAATGTTTCTTGATTCACTGTTTTGTAGCTTTCAAAATAGTAATTGCTCGGAATTGCAGAAATAATCAAAGATTATCAGGAGAAATAGTTAAAGACCAAATTTTGACACAGATTAAGATGGAGAGGGACTTAAGTATCCCTTTTATGAATAATCCAAAAAGATATAGGTTTTGGCAAGACTGGGTAAATGAAATCCAGTAATGTATTTTGAGATATTAGACGCTGGGTTGCCGATGATGTGGGCATGAAGCCTTATATTTTGTTTAGATAAGATGTTTGTAACATACAGCTATATAGCATTGATGTCGGACATCTCATGTATGTCCCATTAACAATTTATAAGTATGTAAGGGCAGCATCCCTTTATGTCTTAATAGAGAAATATGCCTCTCAGCTGATAACGACAGGGGGATCTATGTGTGATAGCCATTTTACCGGGTTTGTAGGGAGTAAATAATACCCCTCCAAGTTTCATTAGAGATGCTTATAATGTATTGTGTTTTTACTATAATAACCCCTGGGCATTAACTTGGCCTTCTTCTACCTACTGACCACGCAGAGATAAATGTTTATTAATATATAGTCATGTAATGTATATTGGATATGATGTATTATATTGTTGTCCATGTATTACCTTTTATGTTTGTTTTATTTGTGATGTATGTCATAATGTGTTATGTATTTTCTTATTTGTGGAAAAAATGAATAAAAGACTATTTAAAAAAAAAAATACTAACAAAATATTTTCCTCTTCTGTGTCCCCTCCCAACAAGACACCAGGGAATCTGCCCCACCAAAACTTAATTTCCTGTAATGTCCTGGACAGGGCCCATAGTCTGTGGGGAGGTGGTTGATCTCTAAGCCCCTCCACAAGCCAGGAATCTGGGGGCATAGGGACTTTTATTATATCTCCACATAACCCAGTACAATGTTTAAATATGTCTCCTGGGCACTGGAGCAATTTAATTTCCCAAACTAAAGCTTTTTTTTTTTGTTTTGTTTTAATTCTTTATTTATGTTGACAGAGATTACATGTACATATCGAACATGATTTGTAACTCAAACAAAGAGTGACATACACACTGCATACAGATTATGGTAACCCACCCATCGCATACCCATGTGGCAGGTAGTGGTCTAACAGTCTCCACCATAGCCCCTTTAAAATGATGCGTTGGTTACCTTGGTGCTGTTTGATATTGCGAGTTACAATTTTTGAACTTTAGTTTTAGTGATTAGATAACAGGAGAAGGAGAGGAAGATAAAAAGAGACAGAGAACAATAATTATTTGGTAGCATATGACACTTGGCTGTTGGACATGTACATAGATAGTGTCGGTGTGTGTCCACCTACCGCAGGGAGCCCTCTGATCAGATATTATGGTGCGAAATGGGTTTTCCATGTCTCAGGAATAGGTCAATAGTCTGAAGCGTGTTTCCCTCCCACTGGTTTTTAAGGGGCTCAGCGAGTCGCCATCTCGGGAGTCGTTACGCTCTCTACCTGTTGCCGGCAGCTGGCAGGGACCTTCTGAAGGCTTTGTTTTGCATTCCTCTGTTTGCACCTGGTCTTTAAACAATTTGCCGGGTCTATCTCTCCCTACCTCCCCCGGGTGGTATATGCTACACATAAGAAGTGAAGGATAGAAGTAAGAGAAAGGTAAGTAG